TGCAAGGAAGGCTACTCTCCATAAAGTGACACTGATTTATATTGTAGTTTAGGTAAATAAATTAGAAATATAATAGCCTGTCAAACAGGACATTTAACTTGTTCTTTAACTAATAATGTATACGCATTTGAAGGGTGTAAAAAAGGTTATGAAATGGTTGGTAATTAATGTGTAGGTATAAATAATAAAAAATTCAAGCTTGTCCTAATAGATGCACTGTTTGCGTGATGGGAATTTGCTCTGAATGCGAATTTCATTATTTTTTAAAAGACAACTAATGCTTTGGAGACATAAATTGCACTAGATTTGATTATAAATATGATCCTAACACAGGATTAGCTAATGGGATTATTTGTTAAATATGCGACTTTGGATTTTTTTATAATCCAAATCAATAATAATGCACTCGTAATTCAATTAAAATATTTTAGGCTGTAAAGAGTAGCCTGGCTTGGAAAATTGCTTGATTTGTTTTAACTCTACATAATGCAAAATTTGTAAAGGAACACACATAATAACAGCTGATAAGAGATGCATACCGTTTGTTGGTTGTTCATCATAATGCTAAACATGTCTTTATACAGATCCTGAATACTGTACAACTTGTAATTTGAAGGAGAAATTTCTAAGTTCTACTATTGTGCCAGGAAAATGTGTTTGTGATTATCCAAATGGTTATATCGAGAAGGATGGTGGATGTGGTAAATGTTCAGATGGGTAATGCTAAACGTGTGGTCAAGATTATTATGATTGTACATCTTGTAAACCGATTTCAAATAGAACTCTTGTTGGTTCTAAATGCATTTGTAAATAAGGATATTTTGAAGCTGGTAATTCTGACCAAATATGTTTAAGTATGAATCAATATCAATTAGAATGCTATGATAGTTGTTATAACTGTTAAGGAATTAATGAAAATGATTGTACTGAATGCGGCGATCCTGGAATTTATAATAAATATCTTGAAAATGGAAATTGTTTTTTGTTTTGAAAGAACATTTTTTTGTAAATTCAACTCTGCTGGGAATAGCTTTTTGTAATACCGTTAAGAATAATTATTTTAATTAA